CATATTCGTTCTTAACAGCTACTTTAGTTTTGAGTTCAGTCCAAGTATTAAAAACCTCCTGCCAAAATGGATTTCTTACTTGTGTTCTTGGACCAACATAGAGCAATTCATTTAATTTAATTTTTTCAGAACAAGTTAGTAACTTACAATAACTATTAGTCTGTTTAATTATTCTTCTTATCCAAGTTAGTTTTAATCCTTTTATATATTGTTTTAGATTTAACATGTTAAGTCCACCCAGTTCATATATTTGAGCAATTGTTGCTCTTTTAATTTTGTCTGGTTTACCATCCCATAAAATAAAATTAATTAATTAATTGATTAAGTAATCCATTGTTAAGATTAGGTAAAGTTAAAAATAAGTGATTGAGTTTTGAAATTATAAGACTTTTAATTATAGTAATTTTTCCAATTGGGAATAAATATTTGTTTGACCAACTTTTCATTGTTCTTTCTATCTCTTTAAGTTTGGGTTCGCAATTTAGTGTTTCCATTTCTTGTAAGTCAACCGAATATTTAATACCCAGGAGCGTAAATCTGTTGGAACCCCACTCCAATCCCCACTTTACACACATTGTATCTTGGCTTTATTTCTATTTCTCAATCCAAACTACCTTTGTTTTCTCTAAATTCATCTTTAGACCAGACCATTCAGCATATAATTCTCAAACACAAAGAGATGCATCTAAGGATTCTGATGAACCATTTAAAATAAGTGTGGTGTCATCAGCATATTGCGATATCAAAATTTCTGAGTCTTCAATAGTAATACCTCTAATATTTTCGTTTTTTCTAAGTAGTATTCCTAACATTTCAGAAAATAACAAAAAGATGTAAGGGGATAAAGGATCTCCTTGCCTGCAACCTCTCTCAGTTGTAAAAAAGTCTGAAAGAAAATTATTCTGTGTTACTGCTGATTTGGTATTTGTAAAAAAAAGTTTTAACCCAGTGGAATTTCCAAAGTTTAAAAAATCAAGAACTTGTTCTATGAAAATCCAGGAGATAGAATCAAAAGCTTTTTCAAAATCAATGAGGAGGAGACTGCCTGGGATATCATTTTCTTCGGTGAAGTGTAGTAAATCATATATCAATCTGGTATTTTTACCAATATATCTACCAGGTATAAATCCTGTCTGATCATTATTAATTATGATTGATAAAACCGATTTTATCCTTTCTGCAATGCAACTTGATGCTAATTTGTAAATAGTATTTAAAAGACTGATTGGACGCCAATTTTTCATGTATTGCTTTGGTTTGTCACCTTTTGGTATGCAAGTTATAATATTTTGTTTTGGGGAAATAGACATTTCCTCTTGATTATTACCATATTTAATTGATCTATGTACAAATTTACCTATATCTATCCAAAACAAATTTAGGAATTCATTTGTGTATCCATCAGATCCAGGGCTTTTCTCATTTTTCATTCTTTTAATTGCATCAGTCAACTCTATAATTGATATTTCCCCTTCTAAGACTCTATTATATTTTCCGATAATTTTGGTATATCTTTATGGTGTATAGCATTATTCAAATTAATAGTATTTTATTGTCTCATTTTTGGAATATAGATTTTTGTAATAATTTTTGGCTTCGTTTAGAATTTTTTTTTGGTTTTCAATTATATTTCCTGATTTATCAATTAATTTAGGAATTGTTTTATTTACGTAATTTTTTGTCCCTAAATTCATGAAATATTTTGATGGTTTCTCTCCTTCTTCTACCCATTGTGTTTTTGACCTTATATATTGACCCCTCAATTTATTTTGTCTTAGAATGTTGAGATCTGTTTTCTTTTTTTCAATCTGTTCCAAAATTTCATCTGTTTATGTTATTTCTTCCAACTTGTTTATATCTTCAGCTATCAGATATTCTAATTTATTTGTTTCTTTCTTTTTAAATGAAGCATATGATATTGTTTTCCCCATTATTTCAGTTAATAATGTTTCTAATAAAATGATCACTAATTGTGAAATCGATATCACTAGAGTCTACTAAGTTTAGGTTTTCTCTGTTATATACAAGGATGCATATTGCTCTTTAGTTTTATTTATAACCTCTTTAACAATATGGACATAATCTGGATCATACAGAAGAGAGTTGTTGAATATCCACAAACCCCTCCCAATAAATTATAAATTTCCTTTACATCTAGAATTTTTTCTTTGGCTTTTGGATTATTTATATTTAAGTAATTAAAAGTATCAAGGTCTTGATTTTGCACTAAATTATAATCTCCCGTCGCAATGACAGTCTGATTATCAAATTCCTCAATTATTCCACCAACTTTGTCATAGAAATCAGGGCTGTCACTATTTGGACCATATAATGTAATTAATTTAATATTGTTATCTTCAATTTCAATATTCAATCCTAATAAATTACTATTTTGATCTTTTTTTTACTTTGTAAAATCTTATATTCAAAATTATTATTAAATAAAATGGCCACTACTCTTTGATTTGAAGAAAAGGAACTAAAGACACATTCTCCACCCCATTGATTCTTAACAAATTGTTCGTCTTTTTCAAAAAAGTGAGAATCTTGAAGACAGTACATGTTACAATCTTTTGCTTTTAGATAGCCTAAAACATTTCTTCGTTTTTCAATTGAATTAAGTCCTTGGCAGTTGTATGAGACAATCTGAATAAGATTATTTTTCATTCAGAGTATACATGATACATATGGTTTGATAATTGCTTATTTGTGCTCAATCATTAGTTTGTAATGTTAATGGTTGGCTGTATTTTCGTCGATTTTATTTTTCGCCACAGTGTTGTTCATTTTTTATCGGTCTTATAATTTTGATAACCCTTAACACATTTGTTCATTTATCAATCATTTTCAATAACAGATTCCATTACTAAATGAGGGACGAAAGATACCAGAGGGACAGTCACACTCATAGAGCGAAAACAAACTGACAACGCCATGGCCAAAAATAAAAAGACAAACAGACAAATAATAGTACAGATGACACAACATAGAAAACTAAAGACTAACCAACACGAACCCCACCAAAAACTGGGGTTGATCTCAGGTTCTCCGGAAGGGTAAGCAGATCCTGCTGCACATGTGGCACCCGTCGTGTTGCATATGTTATTACAAATCCGGTAAATAGTCGAATTCGGTAGGTCACATTCGTGAAAAGGGAAGGGTATTGTAGTTACGACATAAGGAACATATCCGATATCATCTGTGAAACGGTTATCCCATAACGGTCAACCTATTAATCTTGAACAACAATCAAACAAGGTCGATTTTAATAAACCTCTATTGCAAACTATTATTTAATCGAATTCATTACAATAACTTTGGGAACACATTTAATTGCAACAACTGCTTTGGGGCACCAGAAATTAACATATTTTATTTTTAAAACATTTTTTTTTTTCAAATAATTATTTTGAAATATAATTTGACATCTATTTTCTTTGGAACATTGATATAAAAAATTCAATTACAGTTACAGTTAACTGTCTTTCATAAGCACTATAGTCAGTTTCCATAATATTCAATTGTTCATGGGTACGCTGGTCTACGATTCAATTATAGAGAACGATAATTTCAATCATTTTGTTCCTTTGAACAAATTGCTAACAATACGTTCCCTTCAGTCACATCGTTACAATATATTCCATCACAACGTGTTAACATAGGTAACACTTATTAAGATTCAATTGCAGGTTTCTGGGGAGCACTTATATATTATACATTCCAGGGATGGGGTAATTGAAAATGTAATGGTAATTAAGTGTAATGCATTACAATTTTCTATGTAATTGAATGTAATGTGTAATTGAGCATTTTTTTAATTACATGTAATGGTAATTTAATTAATTACACTGAAAAAAGCATGTAATGCTAAATTACTTTTGAATTACATTTCAATTACATGTACTTTTATGGTGTTAATGATAGAGATTGTGTTAATATAACTATTATTTATTTGACATACAGAAATGTTTGCTAAATAGTCTTATAACTTAAAAAAAATGTGAGAATCATATATTGGTGTTGTTCAGTTTTTAAGAAAGATCTTTATCTAAATAGATTGATAACATGTATATACATACCATCAGTACATGTATGTATGGTTTAACAAATGTGAAAATCTTTCTTAGACAGTTCATTTAGAATTTTAAATCACTGCACACAATCATTTTGTCAAATTAGTATACACAAAGGGATTATAGATATAAAAATTATCAGCTGTAAAAACAAATGGCAATTAATCAGATTAAATGTGTAATAAAACAGCCTAGAGACAATGCCACTATTACATGTATGTTATCTAATTAGCAAAATATTGCTAATATCTAGACATAATACATTCATTCATTAACATTTTTTGTACTAAAAATTATTTTCAATATTGTGACAAGCATACTTTTGAATACTTGTAAAGTATGTTTAATTAAATGGCTTCATTTCTGAGTTGTCAAAATACCCCATAATGTATTGGCAAGTTAATCATTGTTAATAGGAAAACATTCCCTCTTCTATCAAAACATCTTATGATCAAGCAATACCTGCCACATCAGCTCCTGTCGAAACAAAGTGTTCAGACCAGAGAGATGCAGAGTAAATGACAAAACATTAAAAATACTAATAATGATCGAATGCAATGCTAAAACTATGTTGTAAGTTTACATGAATATTTTACACATGCTATATTTATACATGATATATATTGTTTATGAAAGTTATGTTGAAATGTAATGTGTGATTCAATTAATTACTTTAGTAAAGTAATTGTAATTTAATTAATTACATTTCAAAAACTGTGTAATGTGTAATTAGTGTAATTGATCATTTTTGCAATGTAATGTGTAATTTAATTAATTACATTTCAATGTAATTGACCCCAAGTCTGATACATTCAATAACACTAAGTTCCAGTAGGGATCATATTGATGACATTTGTCTTTCAATAATGCCAATGAATAGGTACAGCGTTATAAGGGATCCAGTTACGTTGGTTTTTTCAAATTTAGGTACAAATGGTGGAGTTGATGCTGGTGCTAGTAAGATTCTATTAGAGACGAGTAAACTAGGCAATCAACCAAAAAAGAAGCGTTTCAGAAGGGACCAATCGGAGGGGAATAATTTGCCAAAGAAACAAAAGAAAGGTAAATAGATATAGAAATAATGTAATAATAATATTACATAACTGGTTCATCAGGGGAACTTGAGTTACAAAATTGTCTGTTATTCATGGTGTTTAGTATCCTCCTTGATATCTTTTTATACAGACCGTCCAAGTGGCATTACGTAAAGGATATAAGCCGATAACGGTTCTTTCTGTAAAATATTGGACAGAATGAGCTGTTAGAGGCTTATATCTTACTTGAAACATTGTTTAACTTGTCAAAGAAGGTGAACAAAGTAAACAAATACAAACTTTTGTTAAGATTTATTTTCATCAGGTAAATTGTTTTGGATAAACTTTATTAATATTATCCTACATGTTGGCCCTATAAACATTGTCTCAACTTAAACAAAAGAAAAAATAAAGTACAGCTGAAGTTAAACTACATGACTTGTATAGCTACATATACATGAAAACCTAGTACATGTGTATGATGCTTTATGCGTGCGCTAGGACTACATTATACATTTTCCGTGAATTCCTTCACGTGCGTTTGGTGTTTGATAATGGATAAAGACTATGAAAGTATATTCTTAATGCAAAATCCTTTCCGACAAGAAGATAGCGATGTCGAATATAGTGATTGTGTTGTTTAAAACGTTGGATTAAAATCAATTATGTGTTCAAATATATCCGATTGCAGTGCGAACAACGAGGAGGATTTTGTTATAGCAGCTAATAATGGCAAGTTTTATATATATTTTAAAATGTAGTCCTGTCCTATTACTTCCTTATTCCTTCTGGGTTTTATTTCTCATTAGGCGAATGAGAAAAAAAAATGAAAACCACATGAAGCTTGAAGACAGGTTCACGTTGCAGAAAAAGGTTAAACCATATCGAGTGCACCGAGCAATTTTATTTCAAATACAACACTATTCATTATAATGAATGAGCATACATGAAGAGATAACAAGCGTGCAAGGAATTTCAATTCTTTTGTTCTTCATCGGAATTTCCCTCTTTTTTATTATTTCAATGAATTATGATCCAAATATTATATCTTTTACTTGCAAAAATAAATTAATATAGTTATAATATCTAAATTCATCACGATGAAATATCCGGAGATCAAGAAATCGATGAGACGTATTTACCTACTATACATGAACAAAAATATTGATTCATAATTTTCCCGTAGGACGAAGGCCCCTCTATCCTTCCTCGTTCACATAAATTGACCTTGACTCGGTGGTCGCCTTTCAAGAGACAGTTATTGTTTACCTAAACCGGATCACCTGAATACCCCAGACCCCCTTTCCGGGTTTTTTTTTCTGCAAGGTCCGTGTCGCTCATTTTTTAATTTATTTGCGTATTGCTGTCCTTTTGGTTTTTTTTTTTTTATGTTTAGTACCGAAATTTCTTTTTGTCCCTCGATTTTCCTTTGCAAACAACGCTTTCATTTGTTTCTTTAAAACAAAGCATTGTACGTGTACAAAATGAACATATCCTTGTTTTTGTGCTTAATATATATTTATTCTAATCAATCAGTATTACTTTTGAGATCTTAAGTGTTTGAAACTGTTCATAAATACATTAGACAAAAAAAATGTAATTCAGATTTTGACGTTATATATAGTAAAAATACCTTCATTAATAACTCCCCCTTTTTTTCACTCAATGCAATGCAGGAAAGGGTTTTATTTTCAAATTTATATAACACAATTACAGACTGTCTAGAAACTTATTTAACAAACATATGATTAATCTAGCACCTACGTTTATTTAATTTCAATGGACTACAGTGGTTTCTATACATAAAAAAAAAGATCATTTCGAACAAAGTGCGAATCGGACACACGATTGATTTCTTTAACCTGGGGTATCGTGTTCCTTTTTTCTGTTTCTTATATTTACCGTTGTTGATAAGCGAATTCTTGTATTATATTCCTATACAACTAGCAAATCAACGCCGACACCTAAAAATTATAAAAACTGTTGTAGCCCCCTAGTTCATGGAGCAAGTTCTCGATTAGCACTTTGTACACAGGGTGAAGTTTAGGTTGTTAATCAAATTCTTAATTAGCTATTTTGTCCAAGGAACAATCTGTGGCTTTCACATCAACACTTAATTAAACATCTACTTCAGATGAACAATTTCTCCTAATTATGGTAACAAAATTATTTTATCTGTGGTCCTCGTATTGTGGCATGATCTATCAAGCGTAAGAAGCATTATTTTATATTTTTCATTTTCATTGAAGCTGAAAATGATGCTAGGAGGAATGAGAGCAACGCAAATGTCGGTTTTTATATTAAAAGACGGACGAGGATATCAAAAACCTTATGCAAAATCAATACCTTAAAGCACCAAAAACAAAACTTACATCAAGCATTGTCAACCAAATTGGTGCTAAAAGAGACAACCCAAAACATGAGAAAAATGGCTATGAAATAAGTATTGACGCTGGCAGTGTTCATGAGTGACGAAATTATTGTATTGGAAAGTGTCCTTAATAAAAAATGTTTTTTTGGTGTAATTGTCATTTGTTCTTTCATTGTTATTTTTTTTTCAAAATGAAGAAACACATTGTGTGAATTGATGGATTTTATCAGTCCTTGAACTATCATTTACCTGTAGGAATCAATTTTGCTACCTCCAGCGGTCCAATATTTTCAAGAAAGAGGAGGGTTATTCTTTAAAATATTGGACACTTAAATGTAACAAAATGTTTTTTTACACGTGAATGATAGTCCATTCACTGCAATAATGCACGGGTACAATAATAGAATGACGTCACAACAATGTTTTAATGATTGTGAATACCGTCTTACTGCTATTTTATCCGAATATTTAAATGATATTCAAAATCATTACTCGCCACAATCAAATCAAGCAGAAAATAAACAGAACAATGCTGATTTTTATACACAGCTTGGTTTGATTGAACCTGTGAAATAAAACGAAGATGAGGAAATGTAGGGTATACATTAATGTGAAAACAATCATGCAATGGTGCTGGCCAGGAACGTCATTTACGTGAACATATTACACTGTTAATATCATAAATAATACAAAACTGTTATGCCATTTATTAAGCCTCGAGTAATATTCACTATCTGCTTTTAATTCATACAAAAACTGATTTTCATAGGCTGCAGCACGAATTACCTCATTCCGTCATATGTGTCCAAGTTATGCAAAAGCATCCCAATACTAAAATTATGAACTTCGGCTACATAATCAAATTAACCAACATTTTATAAATTGTATGTGTCCGAAACGCTTTTCTTTATTAAGTTAAAAACTATTCTCACACATTGTCCGTCGTGTACTTCGTGAAAACGTTAGTTTAAAAAAAAAAACTTTGATCACTTAAAGGTTGTTGAAAATATATTGTAAATATGAATATTTAAAAGAAATATGTAACTATTATATGAATAAATGATTATCTTACCATGAACATGAATATAAACAAATGTAATTTTATAAATATTTGAGTAGCTATTTACTTTCAAATCCACATCTTCATTATGCAAATGTCAGTTTTAGGACCTTTTTCAGTATGCTTGGTATGATACTGCTTTTAAATGACTAGACAATGATTTTCTTAGTGTTGCGATTAGAGTTTTACTTCAACAAAAATCAGTAATCAATTTTATAAATGAAATATTCTGCGATTAAATGGACACAGTAAGTCTCCATTTGAATACAAGTGGCCTTGTATGCTATATGTCAAAACAAAGCTAAAGTATGATTGATATCGTTTGATTTTGTCAGTTTTTATGGACTTCCCCTTTTTAAATTTGCTTTTGAGTTCGGTATTATTGTTTTACTCTTTTTCTAATAGGGAAATCAATCAATTATATAAATAATAGTTGTAAGGTATAAAAAGGAGGAGTCAGTGTCAGAGACATTATTTGTCCCTTTAAGTTCTATGAGGGAAGCATTACAAGTATATAATAGAAAAACAAAGGATATGGGGTAACCTTCCATGACACAAAATCAGTACATGCACAGCAAAAAAACATACACAAAAAGCCAAGAAAAAGCGCTTTCATTGCTTTTCTTCATCTCAAAGTCACAGTGAGCCATTCAACACGGAGCAAAAACAAAAACAAACTCTCACCTCACTGTATGTTATAGACGGCCCCTAGCACCGTTTTATTTTGTTCGTTTTATTGACAAATGAACAGTTTGATATGATATTGAAAATGTAATTTGTGATGTCACAATAACGTCAGACAAAAGAATGGTTGAATTTGACCTCGAATTCAGGAAACAAATAAAGCCTTATCATGCCTTTTTGTTAAAATAATGGGAATTATATCATATTCAAGAGAAAAAGTACCCATTAAAATGACGTAAGCAATATCTTTCTATAATAATAAAACAGAAATGTACTGATTTTCAAGCACGCACATTGCCAAATAGCCAAATATATAAAGTCTTATCAGTAAAAAATCTTAATATTACACTCGTAATTAAAGTCTTCCTAAAAATGATATCCGCAATGTTTCTTCTCCATTGATCAATAGGTCAGTAGGCATTACATTAAAAAAATGTCTGTATGTGTGTCACCTACTATCGACTGAATGAGACCTTTCAAATGTAAATGGTTAACTCTACTTACTTTTTGTGCTTTTTCTGTTTTTGGTTACTGTTACTTTGAAACAATATCTACCTTTTTCACAATTTAATACAAATTCCATTTTGAATTAGTTATTTTTCTGTGATATTCGTACGTATGACATTGAAGAGTCAACGTACACACTTTGATATTGATAATATCTGTTTTATCTACGTGCAAATTGGAAATGGGTAAAGCTATTTTGATTACAGCAACGGGAAGGTTATCCTATCTATATTATGTTAATATTCCATAGCTCATTATAAATAAAGAGCGAACGATACCAAAAGGATATTCAAACTCAGAAATCAAACTGACAATGATAATATTTGATTTACGTTTAACGTGAAACTGTATACTGTAAACTCTATTCGTGGGCTTCTTAGTAGGACATACAAATATTCGTTAAAATGCTAGTAATACAAACTGTCTTAAAAAGTGGCATTCGTATTTAATTTGTTTAAATAATCATTCATCGTTAATATATCTGTATTACTTTATCTTTAGATGAAGATGTAATATGTCCAAAAATTTCTACCAGAAGAAAAAAAAGAAATTTGCCTTTAGTTCAAAGGCAATATTTTGTTCGTAAATGTAAGGGGGAAATGTATTCTCGATTACAGGAATCGAAAAGATCTCGTCATTCGGGTATGTAACATTGTTTTTAATCTATTGCATTAAAATAATTCTGAACTGAAAACTCATTCAAATGTCGGAATATTATTGACGTGCTAATTATACAAGAATATAAAGGAATGAAAGTTAGACCTATCACCGGTTTTATACTTACATGAGCAACACAACGGGAACCACATGTGGCGCAGGATCTGCATAGCATTACGGAGCACCTGATATCACCCCGGATTTTGTTGAATATCGTGTTTCTCAGTCTTTTGTTTTTAATGTTGTGTTTTGTGTACTGTTGTTTGTCTTTTATCAATTTTTCTAGTCCTGCAGATCGGTGACAAAATTGTGGGTTTGGTGATAAAAGCACCAAATTTGGCATGGCAGTTGTTCTGGGTGTTTCAAACAATATTAGTTATGGACCCACCTTGAAATTCTTATATGGCAGCTATTTCTAAGATGGCCGCCATAAAATATAAAAATCAATATATATAACTTATATAAAGTCACATTTAAGGTAAAATTTTGCATTGTTGTAGTACTGCGTGTTTCAAAACATATTAGATATGAACCCACATTTAAGGTCAAATTTTGCAGTAATGCTGGGTACTTCAAACGATATTAGCTATGGACCCAAATTGAAATTTCAAGATGGCCACTATAAGACGCCAAAATCAACAAATATCCCTTACAGCAGGTTACAAAGTGTTTTGTTTTGACGTACCTTCAATAAAACTAAGTGCCCAATAATACCAAGTGTTTGCTCATTTTTTTTAATAAAGCCAAACATTAAAAATTTTAGGAGGAAAGTATAGAAAATAGTTACTACGGTATTATTCTTGAAGAACAGTAGTCTACATCGAGGGATCACTTATAGACACTTACGTTATTCCAATATTTGAGCTAGACTTAACCATGAATGTTTACTTCTCGACTAGAACAGTTTTCTTTGTGATCAACTGGAAAAGGACATAGTAATGAAGTTACAAAATTGCAGTAATCTCAATCTTGCCAGGCCATCAACAAGGCAGGTGTTTGTTTCTTCTGTTTAATGATTATTTTAATGTTGCAATTAAACAAACAACCACAACAATATGTTTGTATGACGACGATACTTGAAAAAGCTTCACATGCAGGTAGTTCAAGAAGACATGATGTAGGCAAAAGTTTTTTCCACAGTCTTTAAAACATTTGTTGATAATCGTTTGGCCAAATATTCAGATGCAGTCGAGTGATTCCATTGAGGTAAATACAACGCTATCACTTTCAAAGTTACTTCTGTCTGTTTTCTCTATTCTTCTTGAATATTATCTTCAACTAAACTAAAGCCATCTCTTAATGTGTAAAGGCCTTCGTCTGGATGCTAGAACCAATCAAGGAGTTACTTAATGACCAAATGCACAGTTAACTTTTGACGTTTATGAATGATGAAATAATCCATTTAGCTACAATACTAGAAGATTTATGAACATTCAACGTTGAATATGTGGTTCCTCCCTCGAAGCCTGATGGTTTTACAGTAGCAGCCGTGGACAATATTGACAACAAGAAAAGTTCAACTACGGCTAACGAATCGTTACATAGTACGAAACTTTCAATATTTTAGCATTTTCTTGGACTAACTTTGCAAATTCGTCATAACCTTATGATTTGAAATATATATATATTTCCCTTATAATCTCTCTAGTACTAGTACTTTAATCAATATATTATTATGTTAAAATGCTAGTAATACAAACTGTCTTTAAAAGTGGTACTTGTATTTAATTTGTTTGAAGGCAAAATCAATCATCGTTAATATATATGTATTCCTTTATCTTTAGGTGAAGATAAAATGATTCCAAAAACTTCGACCAGAAGTAAAACAAGAAATTTGCCTTTAGTGCATAGGCAGTATTTTGTTCGTAAATGCAAGGGGGAAATGCATTCACGATTACAGGAAGCGAAAAGATCTCATCATTCGGGTATGTAACACTGTGTTAAATCTATTACATTAAAATAATTCTGAAATGAAAACTTATTCAAATGTCGGAATATTATTGAAATGTAAAATAGACAAGAATATCAAGAAATATAAAGGAATGAAAGTTAGACCTATCGCCGGTTTTATACTAACATGAGCAACACGCTGGGTGTCACATATGAAGCAGGATCTGCTTATCTTTGAGGAGTTATTGATATCACCCCTGATTTAGTTGGATATCGTGATGCTCAATTTTCAATTTTCTTTGTTGTTTTGTGTGAATTGTTGTTTGCCGTTTTTTGGTTTTTGGTTTTTGCTGTTGCATTATTAGTTTGTTTTTGACTTGTGCGTTTGTATATACCTTTGATATCGTTCGTCTCACTTTTATTAAAGCAAATACGTTTTCATTCATTTCTTTTTCATATTTGATCATGACATTTGTTGACAAACCTCAGAAACCATCAAAGATCCCAAGCTTATGTTTTGAAGCGCAAGACGTGCGTTTCGTCTTCATCATTCTCAGCAGTGGCCATTGAATCAGAAAAGTTCAAAGGTCAATTTAAATACAAAGTTATAGAGCATTTAAAACACAATTTCCGATAAGTTTGGTTGAGGCTGTCTATGATTTAGGGTAGAAAAACGTTAGTGTAACTATAATTCAAAATGTTTTAGACAAATTTTTACAGAAAAAAAACGTATCAATGATAGTTCATGTCAACGCAGTAGTGCTGACTACGATTAAACTCTCATTAAAGATACAAAGATATAATAAAAGGTCAAAATGTATTTAATGTCGAAGTAATGTTTTGTAAGCAAAACTTGTTGTTATATATCGATAACGACAACATGTGTTTAGATGGAACGTGTGCAGCACTGATTTATCTTTCCTTAATATTTGTTAGATATTCTTACAAGCTATATCTAGCAAGATAAATTGTCCACGCATCAAGATATTTTTTTATAACCAAGACAAGGTAAATCATAGGTTAAATTGAGAATTTAAAACAGTGTGGTTGTATCAATTATTTTGAGCATCAAAATTTATGAAAACGAAATATAATCAGATAGAACACAACAATTGGAGATCATCTTCAGGAGATATATGCTATAGACGGTGGGAAATATCAACAACATAAGAAGATCAAATGTCCAATGGAACACCACCAACCAAACAGGAAAACTAACAACAAGGAACGAAACATCGTCTCTTTTGTACTAAATTTTTGTATATATTTTCACGGGTAAAACTGAAATATCGAAATCTAAAAAATGATAGTTATTGATTTCTATCTTTGATTGATTTAAAGTACCAATGAATCGGCAGATTAATTGGAGAATCCTATAATTGTCTAAAACAAAAATATCATGAAGTTAACGGCAAGTGTTATTAAATTCACCAATTAAATTGAATTTAAACGGATATATACTAAGTTTGGACATGAACTGTAATTCATGTCAATACAAGAAAAAGTCTGCAATAAATAGGCGCAATGGGCTCTGATAGAAATACATACAACCTGTAAATAAACTTTCTATTTAGTATAGCAAACCCATTTATTATTTTTATTACAGATGAAGGGTTCATATGATTGAAGCAATTAAATCTAAAATCAGATGTTCTCTCAATGGACCGATCAATTAAATGAGAAAACTTCTTTTTGAAAAGAATGTGTGAAAGTATAGTGTACAAATTCTATTTTTACTGTATTTTCCTCCATGTTGCAATTCAGAAATGTGTATGGTCGTATTTGTTGGATTGTGACCTAACCAGTTGTCACTACTATCGGATTTTTACTTGAAATGAGTATCTAAACGGTCGCCACCAGTAGAGCAAGAACTGCTGATCCTCCAAGTGCACATGAGTAATCACTGGCTATTGGTGCTCAACCATTAGTTTTCAGTGTTTTGTTTGTTATTGTCGTCTGTCTTTTGGTCGATTTTCTATTTAGCTATGGGGCAGTCCATTTTTTATCGGTCTTATGATTATGATTACCCTCTTGACACCTTTGTTTCTCTATTTTCTCATTGAAAAAAAGAAATTTCTTTACTCAATGTAATTCTCTTGAACAACTATAAAACAAGGTCGATTTTCATTAACTGTATTGCGAACTCTCACTTAACAGAATTATTCATTACACAATAATTTCCTTTTGGAAACAGTAATCACTACACATTTTATTACAATAATTTCTTTGGGGCACCAGTTATCTCAGATGGTGCCATTAAAACAAAATACATATATGGTTTGGCGATATCTGGCCACCGCTTTTATTCATAATATAGATTCATATGATATATATATATATATAGATAGATAGATGTATATGTATATGTAGATAGATATATGGTTGGTTACCCGAAGATAATATGGCAACCTTGCTGCAAAATGCAGATAGATAGATAGATATATATGAAAATGTAAAGATGCACCGTGGGATACATTGGTGCTTTAAATTTAGAAAACACCGTGGGATACACAAGTGTAGTCTGTATTATCCAAAAACCTAAAATTTCATAGTTAACATTAAGATTCTATGCAGCGAATTCTGCCACATTGACGGAGGAAAACAGAGACTCTGTCAACCGCCATAAAAAGGGCGGTTCGCTGCAAAGCTGTGAACCAGATATAAGATAACTACAGATAGATAGATAGATATTTTTATTCAAAGTACAACTTGGTACATATATATGTTAAATAATCTATATGATGTTTTGTGAACAACTGTTCAAAAACATATTTACCTACACAGATAAAAATACTAACCAAAACTACACCAAACCATAAGATAGTTGATTGTATTTGTATACCATAAAATATAGTATATTATAGTATATCATCAAATATATATTCAAGATGTTTAACAATTCATTTCATAAGCATGTTAAGGGTGACAAGTGAAAAACATCCAGTTGAAAAATTTCTGGTCTGATCGAAAATCATAATATTTTATGTAGCAACCCTGACAGCTAATTATAAAGGCAATAATATAGTTGTATATTCTATAGCAACACAAGTCCATGCTTTGCAATAACCTGGTCAAATTTGAGACCATACTTACTTAAGAATTGATGAACCGCATAATCCATCTGATCATGTTCGTCATCTCATTGTGCAAAAATCCCACTCTAGAACTACCTGTGTCATTACCTGCTACATGTTTTATTACGAAATATGGTGGATCCTCATAGTTTCATGTTCTGAGTTAACTTTTAACATGCTTGACAATCATGCCACCACAAAGATTTATTTCCGTGCCTAGACCTAAGTCAACCCCATTTGGAGGATGTCGGTCTGCTACAAAAACATACTTACTATTGAGGATTCTACTATCCAAACATTAAAGCTAATAAATCTCCTACAATTCTTGTACAGCAAATAGCTACATGGAAGTATATGTTACATATGTTATACCATTGAATACAATTTAAAGCATAATTAATCGAGAAAAATAATAATTCTTCTGTAACCCCTGTCTTAAGTTGTCAGCATTGGATCTCCGACCCTTTAATAATCCTCAAAAACAATTGAAAAGACAGCTTCAAACACACTGAATTCATACCAAGTTTAGCCAACAACAAGATAAGAAAATATTTGCTAGACTTCAGCATGACTCTTGTTAAGGTAAATGTAAAGGCTTGGAGTGTTTAATACCTTCTTAAAAACTGACAAACCTCAATTTTTTTATTTTTTTGACACATCTGTTAAATTTTCCTAGAAAATATCCAAACCTAGTAAAAGTAATGTCACAATTTTTGTTGCGAGAGATACAAAATGTACAAGTAAGCAATACCTTAACAATTCATAGAGAGAGATAGTAAATGTATTCATTAAAACAATTAGAGATCTGAACTCATGAAAAAAGAAAGACTGTCCTCTCTGATACATCTGTATGTACTGGGTGCTGTGGAACTTACAATTAAACGGTTACTAAAGGTCTGAAATAACAGTAATAAAACCCGTGGGGTTATAGCAGGATAAACATCTGCAGTTGGGACCAAGCATCTGAAGCGATCCACCTAAAAACCAGAAATGGCTTCAGCCATAATGAAAAATTTGTACCAGAACAGTGATAATGAATGTCATACTAAACTCCCAAATATATGAACTAAAATAAAAATTCATACAAGGCTAACATAGGACAGAGGCTCCAGACTTGGAACAGGTACTAAATTGCGTAGGGTTGAACAAGTTATTTAAAATCTCAACCAAATGCAGAACAAACAAACAAACAACAAACACACAGCAATACGCACAGTAAAAATCACACAGTTTAAAGAAGTTCGAGTCCAATATCAGAATAGGTAACAAAACAAACAAAACAAAAACTGAAAAATGACGACATTACATAAATCAACAATGGACTACTAACAGTTACTGACATGCCAGCTCCAGACCTCAATTTACCTGTTCGAAAGATTATGTCTTCATTATATTAAATATCTAGCACCATCCCTCCAATGGGGGTTTAGTATCATATCATCATAACATATATTAGAGGAACATAACCCGTATCAACCCGCAACTGGTTTAAGAATAAATGAGTTTTTGTCCGATGCAAAGACTGTGCAAGTAAATCAATATTGAAGCCAAAATATGCCATTTTTTATGCAGGCAACAGTATTCCTTCTTTATAAGTTTGCTTTAATGTTTTGTTAGCTTTTGAGGTAAACTGACATTTTGTACTTTGTAAAGTATATTACCATAAAAGATTGGATGGGAAATACCTGAATGTGTAAGATGTCATGTAGAAGTGAATTTCTTATAATGTAATAAAACTGCCCATAAATACAAGGCAAGAAGAACTGGATCAACTCAGGTAAATGCAAATTTCAAAAAATGACTATGAGGACCTGTATACTAGAGTCTAAATCCATGTAAGAAGAAACAAACATTTAGTATAACAGCATCAACCACTCTCTGTCTCGTCTTGGGTTTGAACCAGGTTGCCCAAATGAAAACTTATTTCCATTTGAGGTCTATGTGACCTAAAACTTG